GCATATATATATATATATAATCCTATAAGGAGTTTGCTTTATATTTTTTTATAAGAAATTACATAAATGACTAAGAACTGATATACGAGAAACATAGAGTAACTAATGTTTTTTTCCGTTACATAGTACCATACTATACTAAATGTAATAATCTATCTATCATGTGATTACATTATTTCTAATTTAAATTTTAATATTTGAAAACTATCAACTAAAAATAATAAAAATACTATATGACAACATAATTTATTTACTATAAAACTTAAATATAACATGACAAAAATATTCATTTATAACAAATTTGAGTATCATAAAAGACCAGACGAAATTCTGAAGAGAATTATTTTCAAATAAAAACTTGTCTCCATTACTCCCAAATGATATTAACAATCATTTTTTAGTAAGATAAAAAACAGAACAATCATATAAAGGCGAAAATCAAATCTAGAAATAATTAGAGACTAAAGCAATTTTAATCTGCATTATATATTTAATTATCGATTAGCAGTGGTCGTCCTAACCTGCATAATAGTTAGGATCTGTCTGGGGGAGCTACGAGACGCATAAAATTTCTCCAGCAAGAGTAAAATTATATATTATAGGATAATCTATAGAAGAATAGAATCTAATACTTCGGTTGACTGCAAAAGAGACACGCCTAATCCCCGTTTGCACTCATAAGCATCAAAATTAAAATCTATCAACTCTCGAAAAACTAAGGATCCTTTCATTGCATTGCAAGCAATGAATTAATATCTCAATAAGCTCAAACATCATTCAAAATAATAAATGCATCAACAAAAGTAATGTCTTGGGTCTCGACCTCAAAATTCAAAATTTATACTAACGATGATATGACAAAAAAACTAATTCATCCTTCTAATAAGCTCATTTATGTAATCTTCCCTGTTGCCAGCGTCACCACCTTCAACATAATGATTTCTTTTCTTCTTCAGACCACCTAGGGGAGCTTTGAGCTTGAAAGGCCATAGAAAATTGTTTGCCTCCCTGAAGTGAGGTCCAACAGTCATTATCTCATGGATCAGATCTTCGATGCAAATGATCCCATTCTTCCCCAGAGTCTGAAAATGAATAGTGTAAGTGATAAAATTGAGTAATAAAACAAACCAGCAAAGAAAGTATTTAAAGACTGTTGCTTGATAACCATGCAGACCTCCTCAATAATAGAGTTGTCTGTCAGAGCAATTCTCTGCTTGTTAACTTTTCCGAAGCCCCTCTTGTAGATCAATTCCCTTACACTCTTCAAATTAGGGTACCTGAAGTAGATTTGCAAAATATTAAGAACCCATGGTGCAGGTAGTAACGAACCATGATAATCAAGAATGCTGAAATTTTATATACCCATAGGTAACATATGGCTCAACCCTTTCAATTTTGAGCCTTCCAATCTGTGTGCGAACCACAACATCAATTTTTGTGAGCCCTGAATGGTAACCTAAACGACTTTATTAGGATTTGTGTTCTTCATGAAAGTTTTAGATATTGATGTTAGGATTCTAATGGATTTGGGATCACTTAGAAAGGATATGTATGTCTCAAGTTATGGTTAAATTATTAACTGAATGTCATAGATATTGTGATGTGTATGAAGAATTATGTGAAATTTGTGGTCTATGATGTTGATAACTTAATGATAGGTACCTAGCATGTGAGGATGATATTGCATGGATTGTTATTGACATGTGAAGATGTTATATAATGGAGATGCATTAATTATAAAGGATCTAAGATCTGTGATTATTTACTATTTAAGAGCACTCGGATTGACTTAGATTTACGATCTTCGAGTCGTGGTTAGTTTGGTATCCTCACGAAAAATTGTGGTGAATTATTCAGGGAAGAGTTTGTGTGAAAAATTCCTTGCTGATTCTCACCCCTAATTTTAAGGGGGTGCCAAATTGACTCGTAGTAATGAACAGATAATGTGCTTTAATGATGTATCATGTTTATTATTTGGAAGTGGATCATTTTATTGTTCAATACTACTTACAGTCTAATACCTATGGCTAATTGTCAAGCTCTCTGACGTTTATTGTTATTCTTGTTTATCTTCTCCAGTCATACCAAATGGCCAACAGAGTTCAAATTCCTACCAACAGTTCAGCACTTATTGCCATGATTGCAGATGAGGTAAGAGTGGCAATGTCGTGTGTGCATTCTTCTTTTCCTAATTTTTCTCACCGTACAACACTTTATTTTTTGTGTGCTTTTGAATGTAGATTTGAAGTACCAACTCAATGAGAGAGAAGACAATGCTTGTAATCTGAAAAATGTAAAAGCAGATGTTGGTTGGAGGTAAGATGTTTGTTGGATATGTGTCTCGTTTATTGATTGCATACCTTATTTTAAACCACATTTTTGTTTGTTAAGAGCTAGCTAAGATTTGAT